ATGCAAATGTTGCCAATTCAGTCTTGCCGTTTGTGGCCACTACACGTTTATTTTCAAATTGGCATGTGCATGCATTTCTGTTCTGTTCACTTTCCTTGGTCTCTCTGATTTCTCATAGGATCTACCTTTTTTTTTTGGAAAGCTGGATTTGTTTAGACCCTTCTTGATTACAAGGGTTTTTCCCCCGTCGACTTATATGTCATGCACACGTGTAATCTGGGATTTTGTTTTCTATGCAAAATTCAAATATTCGGATCTACTTACTCCTAAGAGATCACTATGGGATTGAGGAATTTTGAATGAATAAATATAAATATGTAATATCGGCCATAAAATGATTTTTAACCCACACAGTGAGGTATGCACAGTTTTGTTTTTTTCCAAACAAGTTGTACATCAGACCGCATCTTTGACCTTTTCCACAGCAGCTAATATTTCAATTTCACACTGGAATGGAAGTTTAATTAGATTACCAGTTTCTTTGACTGTGCTAAAGAAACTCTCTTTGATCACCCATTGACGTTTTACATGGGCAGCCCATCGGAATGTTCAACATGAACAGAAAATTGAATATTTTGAATTTGCCTGTCATGTACCATACAGAAATGTAGCATGTTAGATGATTTGACCATTAAACAAATTCGTCACAGTGTGACTCGATCAGGAACTGTGACATTTTTCAACCATTTTATAATCGAGATGCCACACTCGGCGAAATATCAGATCAGAGAGAGCCCACTTTGCTCTTTCCGTAATACAAACTGCAAACCAAATTCACCCTGAGAAATGGCCTTGAGACTTGTCTTGTGGGATCCTGCAGTATAGACATGAAAACCGCTGTTGGAACTAATTGTTGGTTTGGCTCAGTTTGGGTGTTGCATCTCAATGTTTTGTGGCACTAATTCTGGTACAGGCTGTGTTGATTTTAAACAAACATCCGTGTTGGTAACACCAGACAATTGGCGAATCAATAGGACATTTTGTTAAGTCATGAGACTATTGATTGACAGGACAGCAAGTCTGTTTGTACAGTACAATAATTATGTGTTCATGGGAGTCTTGGATTCTTTCTTTTGACCACGGCCAGAACCTACATGTACCCCACAATCTGTGAGTGGACCATGGCAGTACAGGGTAGATGCATGCATTTGCCAAGTACAAATCATGCAGATCTACAGTCAAAACACCCTACCACAAACATCTCAAGCATGTATGTGGGGAGGGGGCTGAGGACCTGCATATATATGTACATGTACAAACACTGCCTGGTTACATTACAGAGTGCTGTTTGCCATCTTAGTACCTCAAGTTTATGCTCTATTATTTGATACATGTATTGCAGTCACTACATGTACATGGTATGTGCAGTCACTACATGT